CTGCTACACACCATGGATGTCCACAGGCCGGGGCAAGGAGCAGGTGTTCTGAGACTCGTGAGAAGGGGACTGAGGAGTGGGAAGTCTGCCTCTGAGTAGTGGATGAGGCTTTCTGTGTTAAGTGAAAGCACAAGTGGGGTCCACTCTGTGGGCAGTGGTATAGGACTGCAGTGACACAGCCTCCCTCCACCTTAGCAATGTGTGCACCACGGCTTTCTTTTTAGATAATGGAACCGTAACACTCTTATCTACAGTGAGTGTCCTTTCTGGCTTTTAAAATTCTTGGATTTTCTTCACATGGATTTCCATGTAGTATGCGTATTTAGGCTGAGAAAGGTGGTGTCTTATTCCTGTGGAGTCATTTGTGATAATATAAACTGAAATTCAGACCATCTTATGAGATATATAAAAATGACCAGGGGCAAAAAGCATTGGGAGCATCTAATAAATGTAATAAGTTATTTTTGTGGCAGCAATATTATTTTAAATACAAACTATTTAGAGTGAATATGAAGATTTATTATTTAATATTTATAAATCCATTTAAGCTGCTCAGATAAATGGATAATCTAAATAGTTATGGTTAGGCAGGCTGAAATGGGTTTGAGTTTGGTGACATAAAATCCTAATTTTTTGGCCTCTTTCCCCAGCATTCTGCAGGGATACACTGGCTCATTTGAAGCTTTGACCTTCAAGGTTTCAAAGGAAGGAGCTGAGATGTACATAAGTAGAAGGTATGTGTCTCTTGAAATTTGTTTCTTTCAAGTTTGATGCTCAAAAGAAAAAAAAAGTCATTAATTTGACAGTCAAGTGTAAGAAAAAAGCACTTTCCTCTGTGAAGTAATATATCATAAGGGTTGAGAATGCAGGCTGCCACTTGCTAGCTGTGTGGTCTTGGGCAGCTCACTTAACCTCTCTGTGCTGCAGTGTCCATCCTTGAATGGCTTGGATATCTGGATGGCAGTGTGCCAAGTGGCATATGCCTTTTCTACCAAACACCTTGTTGATTACGAGCGCTTAACATATGCAAAGTAAGTCATGCTTTCTCTATCAGGCAGTATTCTCATCTGCAAGCTGCTGTTAACCACCATGCTTTGCTGCAATAAGGAGATTTACTGGAAAGCCAGGGGAAGTTCACAGAATAGAAAAGAGGCAGTTTGGAAAAAGGGCAGGAGTCAAGGATGCCACGGAAGCAGCAGCAAGAGCGACGCCCCATCACTCCGGGGACTGGTCTGGCCTGGGAGCTCCTCTGCCACCCAGATGCATCTGGCATGGCTCTTCCCGCCCTCCTCCCTGCACTGTATCAGGAGTGCGTAAAAGATATCTCTGACCCCCTTGGTTTCCATAACGGGAGGTGGCAATGGAAAGCAGTCACTGGGATCTGCCCTCTTGCCAAGGTTACATACAATGGAAAATTCTACCAGTAGGAATATGTGGTGCCTAGAGTGGAGGTGTGTAGATTCTGGGTAGTCAGAAAAATCACAGATCTCTGCTTTACTTGTATAAGACTTCAAATTTTCCTCAGTAACTCTGTGAGCAGTGATATGCTGGTAAGTGTTTAACAACTGGCTCTCTGGCCATGATTTGTAGCACTTGTACATTTCCACAGGGCAAATACCCCTACTGTGGCCAATTTCAGGATACTACATGACATCTGAGCACAGTTGGAAATACACAGTAATATACTACTGTATAACATTTCAGCCATACAGCTACAACAGATTTAAATAATCTCAAGTGCATAGATGATAGTAAAATGTGGTGAGACAATGAGGAAGTGATAAGTTTTGAGTATTTATTACCTTTGTTAACATAATTTAATTGTAAGTTTATACGATTTAATTTTTAATCATAGCTGTATTTAGCAAGTGGCTTGCAGAATTTTTGAGAGAAAAACTTTGAGCCAGTTCCAGCATACCACTGCCCATGAGGTGGATCAATAATGTTATTGAGAGAGAGATTGAGAGATCTGAGAGATTCCTTACACAGTAGGATGTTTGGTGGAGAGGCCTAGGACCTGGGAATTTTGCACAGCAGTCTATAACACTGGGGACTCTCAGTAAAAGAATAATAATAGTGCCTGGCATTTACTTAGGAAAACACATTCTTACTCAACATCCCACTCATTTTTGATCCTCACAACAAATCCAAGGAAAAGGTAAGCAAGGTGTGTTACAGGTGAGGGGACGGAGAGTCAGAGAGCTGAAGTGACCACTGACACGTGGAGCTGAGACTAGAATTGGGTTCTTGAGACTTCCAGTTCACAGCTTTTTCCATACCATCCTGCTTCTTTGAAGCCCCTGCCATCACTGGGAGAGCCACTTATTATAAGCAGCCCATTAAATAATCCAGGATGTGTATGTCAGGCCTTATTCCCCAAATTCATTCCAGGGGCCTCTCCTGTATCTTCACAAATAAAGAATGAAATAAAGTTGGAGGCTCATAGAGTGGGCAATGATAACCCATTGCATTAGCAGCTTTGATAGACCCCAAGATGGCCACCAATGATCCTTACCCCCTGGTGTTCATGTCCTTGGACCCCTACATCGAAGAGGGCTGGCCTTGTGACCAGTAGGATACTGCAGGAGTGATGGTATATGACTTCTGAAGCCAGCCATAAATGGCACTGCAGCTTCTGCCTTGTTCTTTTGGATCACTGGGGGAAGTGCTCTCAGCTCTTGTGCTCTGGGGGAGGTCAGCAGAGGGTTGTGCAGACACCCAAGCAGCCCTGTGGAGAAGCCCACATTGGAAGGAACTGAGGCCTCCCACCAACAACCAGCACTACTTGCCAGCCATGTAAGTGAGCCACCTTGGAAGTGGAATCTCCAGCTCCAGACAAGCTTTCAGATGACAGCCACCTTGGCTAACACCTGACTGAACCTCATAAGAAACCCCAAGTCAAAATCACCCACCTAAGTGCTCCCAAAGGATTGACCCACAGAAACTGAGAGATGACCAATGTTTATGTTGTTTTAAGCCACTTAGTTTTTGGGTAATTTGTTACACAACAAGAGTTCAACTGGATTTCTTTCAGAGCTGCACCATATGGGCTGTGGGTGATCTTAATCCACTACAGAGAGGTGTTAGGGGCTTAAGCAAGCACTTTAAGTAAATTGTTGTGTTGTTTTTGTTTTCCACCAAAGAAAGTGAACTCTAAGTCAACATTGGAGGGCTTTGTACAATATAACTTGAAATGCATTTTCTCTTTAATGCTTTTCTAAATAAATCTAATGCTTCTCTAACATTTTTTTTCCTGTTGTTATCCACAAAAATGTGCACTCTATACTGAGTGCATCTGCAACTCTGCAGAGCAAGGCAGCTTGACCTGGCATTCACTCAGGCGCCCTTAAGTCATCCCACAGCCCTTTAGACCCCACCTTCACTGTCCCCTTTGATACTTTTGGGTATCTGGGCCATGGCATCGCCTGCCCTTTGGGAAAGCCCGAACAAGGGAAAATAATGAAACAAATTAATTAGTAAGGGAAGGGGCTAGAGACCCCACTGGATGTTGCGGGTGGAGACCTTAAGTTCATTAGCAGAACACCAGCCCTAACACCGTCCGGGAGGCTGAACCTAGAAAAATCAGCTCGCGTTCCCAAGAGCTCAGGAGAGGATCTCAGCGTAGACAGGCTGGCGTGCCTACCAGGAGGGTGGGAGCCGGGATCACCCCAGCTCCTTGGCGCGTTTCCTCCGAGCTGGAGGAGGCCGAGGGTGGACCCCGGAGCCGTTGCCCAAGGCGAGGCGCCCGAGCGCCGGCGCGGGGAGACCGGAGGTGGGACGCGGCAGGCTGCGCCTTGCAGGCTAGAGGCAACGGGTACGGAGCGCGCACGGCCCCTGAGAGCCGGCGCCTTCAGCATGGAGTGGGAGCTCAACTTTCTGCTCTACCTGGCGCTCTTCTTCTTTCTGCTCTTCTTACTTTTCCTCCTGCTCTTCGTAGTCATCAAGCAGCTGAAGAACTCCGTGGCCAGCACTGCCGGGGCGCTCCAGCCCGGGCGCCTCTCGCTGCACCGGGAGCCGTGGGGCTTCTCCCACGATCAGGGGGTGTGACCGGCGCCGCGCGGACACTGGCAGGAGGGCATGGAGCTGTTCGGGCACCGAGCTGGGTCTCGGTCTCGATTCTCTGGCCGCCCGGGTTCGAGGGCCAGGCTAGGCTGCCTCGCTGGCAGGTCCGTTTGGGCGTGGGAGGGGTTGGCAAAGGGGCGAGTTTCTCCGCTCCTCCGGGAGGCCAGGGGCTCGCGGCGTGGGGGATGTCAGGGACGACGGGTGTCTGGGGTCTGGGCTGGTGCTGTGCTCTTAGGGAGGGACCCTAAGCTTTTCCGGGGCGGGGAAAGATGCAGAAAAGAGAGAAGTTTAGCTTTTGGAGCCAAAATGGCTTTTGAGCCCCTGCAAGCTATTCTTCCAGTCCAACTGCAATTTATCTTGTACCCAAGGGGTACAACACTAAATTATTCAGATAATTCAGTCCAGCCGCTTCCAAACAAAATCGAATGTCATCCTAACCTTTGGGACAGGAGGCAGGAAGAAACAGGGCGCACTCGAAGTATTCCAAACACTGCTTTAAGTATCTTTGTGCTTCGGAGATGCTAAATGGGATTCAACTGGCGGTGCCAAGGAGCGAGGACTCAGGGGCCCATTTTTTTATGGGGAATCACCTCTTCCTCTTGATCCCTACTCCTATTCTAGACGCCAGCCCCATAGGAGCCTGCGGATTGCCGCGGCGGTAGGTTTAGAGTCTGAAACAGCAGGAGGGTGAGCGTTAGAGTGGGAGCCATTGGGAGAGTCCTTGGAGTTGCCAAGGAGGGCTGGAGAAAGGAGGCAGTTTAAGCATTGTAGGGCAACGGGAAAAGGACAGGAAGAATGTAGGCTGTCCTAAGTGATTCGAACATCTTCGGGAATATTGACGGGCACGAGTAAACTGCTCACCAGAGTGCCCTAAGTACGCTCGGGGCAATGTTAGTCTGGGAAATAACTTCATCTTCCAGGTGCTTTTTCCTCGGTTTATGCCGTCTCAAGTTCTGGAGCCGAGCTGCTGCTCTGGGCTGGGGTGTGGAGGACCGCGGATGCAGTTACAGCCGGGTAACTGGGCTGGAGACACCAGAGATGGACGTTTTCTGCGATGGTAAGTAGGGACCACCCTTGGTTTCACTTTGTCCCTGGGTAAACTTTTGAAGACCCAGGGCCTTTAAAAAGTGAGAGCTTAGGATGGAGGAAATGGGTGCAATGAAATAAAGGGCTCTCTCCCACTCAGAACCAGTGAGCTTCTACTGGAACCAAGGAGCCAAACTGATTCTTAACCTAGTACAGTGTCTAGGTAGAGGATCATAATAATTAGAATGGGATGTGAGAAGTGATTGCAATTTTAATAAATATGCTCTTTTGGAAAACAGTGTGCAGGGGTTCTTGAAGTTGAAATACGTAATGCAGATACAATTTGTCTTCAATAAGGGAAGATTTGGGTTCAGTCATGTTTAGGATAAGATAAGCTGTCCCTGTTGTGACTGTAACACGGAAAACATTTATTAATTTTAGGCACAAAGACAGACCATGTAGAAAGGCTAAAAACAATGAAACAGTAAGTGTTGCCTAAGTTGATAATATGAAAGTGAAGTGGAAGACAATTATTTTAATAATTCAAGAGAAGGAAAAATAGTCTCACTGTGTGAATATTTATGGGGGAAGTTTTGGCCTGACACATTCAGATAATTTCCTGCTTTCCTATTTCACTTTACTAGAATAGAACTGTTGTTAATGAAGTGAGTGGTTTATTTTAAATATAATGTCATAATCAAATTCAAATACATATGTGTATATACATATATACATGCATATATGTGTGTATATACATATATGTTACACACACATATGTATATATGCACATATGTACATATATATATATACACATACACACACCTCTCTTTATTGGAGGTATAATAAGACTCGATTTGAATTCCCAGTTTGAATCTCAGAATCAACTGCAGTGATTCTAAATTGTACTTTGCACAGTAGTTCTCTAATTGGTTGACACCTCTGCAGTGACATGTAGTTATACAGTTGTATGGTAAATATGGACTTTGAAGATGAGTGTGGGAGTAATTAATAAGCAATAATAGTTTACAAGGATGGAAAACAATCCCTTCATGCTTTATAAATAACCAGAATAAAAATTGTTTCAACCACCTGCTTGTCTTGATTTTATAATCCTTTATTCTTCCTAGCAGTGTCACTGGTGTCCAGAGGTTTAAATCACCCCTGACTCTTCTAGACAGGAGACTATAGAGAACTCAGGGTGAGTAGTTTGCTGCCATCCCAGTATTAAGCCAATCTCTTTGCTGGTTCTACTGACTGAGTTTCCTACGAAAAGAGTGGTTGCCTTTCTCTCTTGTGGCCAGTGCCATTTTATAACCTCCTCAGAATCTAATTCATTAACTACTAAGTTCCCATTTATCCAGGCAAAAATGAATATTTATTCCTATTACCCAATCTCTGCCTGGAACTTGGCCCTAAAATCTGGGAATTAAGGATTCTCACAAGTTCTCTCAGAACTTGCTGCTGTTGATCTCCTGCTTTGCCCTTGCTTTGTTAGAGATCTTGCTTTTGAAACTTTGACATCTCTACATGAGCTGCCCTGTTCCATTCATTTATTCAATCATCATTTTTAAGAACCCAACATAGATCGATCTCTGACATTAGAACTACTTTTGAACTCAAATTTTGTGCTACCTGTATGCATTTTTAATCTAGCGCTCTGACACCCACAATGGCCTAGGTGCCAGGCTTGTACACATTGGCTGCTCTATCCACCACACCCTGGTGCTGACAATCACTCCACCAAGTCTGTTTTTGAAGACAGTGTACATATGAGCTAGGCATTAAAACATTTTGAAAAGTCAGGAACATTTAAGATAACTGCCTATTATATAAGTGTAACTTGATTATAGAAAATTGCTGTTTTATTTTCAATATGAGGTTTTTAGTGACTCTTCAGCAACGTTAGAAACTGAGTTGAATTTCTTACATTATATGGAAATGGGCCATAATTCAATTGTTACATAATCTTAGTATTGTGTTTCAACTGTTCTTATTTCATTGTTGTTTCTAAATTTCAGCTGTTTAAAAAGACTTCAAATCTTATTAGGTTAATCTCGATTGTTTCACTGATTTCCAAACTTGTAAGTGCAATGAATCTGCAGTTCTACTTGGAAAGATAACCATTTTAAGTTGAATGAGAATGACATCACAATCATACCTGTGAAATCTAAAATGTCTAATAAAGTAGATTCCTATGTCTGAACTTCAATTTTAAGGCACAGCTGTAGATGCAGGACTGATGCCATCTGGTGCGATTCCACAGAATAAGAGAGAAAATTTACCCAGGGTGTGCCATGCACTGGCTTTTCTGGGAATGACAAGGTGCCAGGATTTGTTTTTGGTTCACTTGCAGGGGTGGAAACTTGGAACTAGGTGAGTAAAAAATATGCAATATTCTATTTTTAGCTTGACATTTCATGTTTCCAATTTTGTCTATAGTTTCAAAATAAGTGCAATAGAGTTAAAAATTTTTAATGGCCCAAATTCTAAACACTGTAAATGGTTAAACCATTTTGGATAGTGGGAAATGATTATTTTTTCTAATTCATACCTACTAATATAGAGACTTTTAGAATACTAATGTAGTACATAGAAAGTACTTGCAGAATACTGTACTCTGTTTTTATTTTTATAGCTACTCTGAGGTACTTGTGCTTATTTAAGCTAAATCCACAATTTAAACTCTGGGACCATTAGGAAATCACTGTCAGCTGTCTGTGTCACATAAAGGGAAAATTAAACATTGAGTTGTAGATCTTTGATGTTGATCTTTTGTTTGTTTGAATCAGTGAAATCAATTCTCAATTCTCCATTTTTTACTTCGTCTACACAAAATAAAGTTATAGATGAAACAATGATCTGAATAATTACCTGAGTAGTTAGCATTTTACCATATAAGAATTTGAGTAAGCAGAAGAGCAGACCTGTGTTTAGAGAGCACTGAGAACATAATAGACACTCAGAAAAAAACCTCCTGATGGATTAACCTAAAACCCCTCTTATTTGCCTTAATAGCAGCTATTTTACACAGTAATCCTGATTATTTCCTCCACCCACCTTTGGTCTGTTTAGGCACTGGTGGGTTCAAGATATACTTTTGTTTTATTAATATGATTCTATGAAGTTTCTTGAACTTGAATGTGTACAGATTCTTCAGGCAAGGTATTTTTTACTTTCAGATAAAAATTTTCTTCTTGGGAATCAAGGTGGATTGCTATCTTGAAATTACTGGACTGAACAGCGGCTTTAACAAAATAGGGGTTTTGTTTTGTTCTCATGTAACAAGGAGGTTGGGGGTCGGCTAGTACTGGTGTTGGTTCAGAAGCTCACAGATGTCAGGGTCAAGGTGGCCCCTGAGGTTCCCATGGCTTTTCCCTTAGGTTCCAAAGTGGTTGTTACAGTTCCCCTCAAGAAGATGGAGGAAACCCAAAGGAAAAACAGAGCACACCAGTTTGAGTCCACTTCTGTTTAAAGAGCTTTCGGCAGCCCAGCAACTTTTGCTTACATCTCATTGGCCAGACTGTGTCATTGGCTCCTGCTATGTCTTAAGACTGGCTGAGAAAGGTAGTTTTTGTAGCTGGACATATAACTGCCTTCAACAAAAATCTGAGTTCTCTTGATAAGGAAGAAGATAATGGTGGATCTTGGGTGAACAACTTGTAGTCTGTGCCCTGGATACAAAATACAGTAGTAAAGAAGCATAATGCTTGAAACATATCAAAACTGTAGCTCCTTCACAACTGGCAACTCCAAGCAACACTGCTGTGCTCTGAGAGAGTGAGTAGAGTGAAGACGTGTTAGGTTTTCTCGTGAAACACTTACCAGGACTGCCCTTCTCTCCCAGCCCTTGCCCCTATCAGGCTTTTCTAGAGGAAGATGCTGGGAAGCTGCACACTGTCTTGGAGGACATAATCTCTTCATGGAGGTTTGAAATGGGATGAGGAATGTTCTACCTTGTTACTTCCACATCTGCTTCATTTATCTCTTCTCTGATTTTCCTGACAAATTTTTGGTGGAATCTAGTTGTGTATTTGATCCCCATAAAAGGATCATTCCTTTCATGCACAGGGGAGGGTAATCTATGTGAAGAAAGGCTACTTTACTCCCTTCTGTGACTCCACCACCAATCTAGGAATATCCTGGAAGAATTGCTTCTCAGAACTGCTTCCATAAGCAGCCTACATCCTGGCTAAGCAAAGGGAGAAGAAACACTTCCCACATCCAGGGCTGTCCAAAAGAACGTTCTGTGATGACAGAAATGTTCTATATTTGAACTGTCTTATATGGTAGCCACTAGCCACATGTGGTTAGCAAACCCTTGAAATGTGGCTACTGTGACTGAGGAGGTAAATTTTAATTTTGTTTACTTTTAAATACTTTAAATGTAAATAGCTCACAGATGTCAGGGTCAAGGTGGCCCCTGAGGTTCCCATGGCTTTTCCCTTAGGTTCCAAAGTGGTTGTTACAGTTCCCCTCAAGAAGATGGAGGAAACCCAAAGGAAAAACAGAGCACACCAGTTTGAGTCCACTTCTGTTTAAAGAGCTTTCGGCAGCCCAGCAACTTTTGCTTACATCTCATTGGCCAGACTGTGTCATTGGCTCCTGCTATGTCTTAAGACTGGCTGAGAAAGGTAGTTTTTGTAGCTGGACATATAACTGCCTTCAACAAAAATCTGAGTTCTCTTGATAAGGAAGAAGATAATGGTGGATCTTGGGTGAACAACTTGTAGTCTGTGCCCTGGATACAAAATACAGTAGTAAAGAAGCATAATGCTTGAAACATATCAAAACTGTAGCTCCTTCACAACTGGCAACTCCAAGCAACACTGCTGTGCTCTGAGAGAGTGAGTAGAGTGAAGACGTGTTAGGTTTTCTCGTGAAACACTTACCAGGACTGCCCTTCTCTCCCAGCCCTTGCCCCTATCAGGCTTTTCTAGAGGAAGATGCTGGGAAGCTGCACACTGTCTTGGAGGACATAATCTCTTCATGGAGGTTTGAAATGGGATGAGGAATGTTCTACCTTGTTACTTCCACATCTGCTTCATTTATCTCTTCTCTGATTTTCCTGACAAATTTTTGGTGGAATCTAGTTGTGTATTTGATCCCCATAAAAGGATCATTCCTTTCATGCACAGGGGAGGGTAATCTATGTGAAGAAAGGCTACTTTACTCCCTTCTGTGACTCCACCACCAATCTAGGAATATCCTGGAAGAATTGCTTCTCAGAACTGCTTCCATAAGCAGCCTACATCCTGGCTAAGCAAAGGGAGAAGAAACACTTCCCACATCCAGGGCTGTCCAAAAGAACGTTCTGTGATGACAGAAATGTTCTATATTTGAACTGTCTTATATGGTAGCCACTAGCCACATGTGGTTAGCAAACCCTTGAAATGTGGCTACTGTGACTGAGGAGGTAAATTTTAATTTTGTTTACTTTTAAATACTTTAAATGTAAATAGCCACATGTGGCCGGTGTCTATTGTGCTGTAGAACATAGTACATACCTTTCTCTTTCCTGTGTTTTAGAACTTGCTGGGTGTGTGTATGGGGAAGGAGGTGGTTAGAGTCACCACGTAAGTCACATGCTTGGTGTTCCATGGTCTTCACTGTTCCACCTTGCCACTGAACTTGTCTCTCAGAGGAAAAGGAAACATGGTATTTTGGAACTAAATTCAAGATGTTAACTTGACATTTACACATTGAACGTATGTATAAGTGGAAAGGTCTCCTAGGAACAGATCCTGTGATTGATTTTAGTAATAAATGGTGATGGGAAAGGCGTAGTGCTGGTCATTTAACATTCCTAGTGAACATTATGTGTTCCTAGTCAAAGTTAGCAGAGATTATTTTATTCTGTTGTGTAATTCATTCTGTGTTACTTTATTTTTTTAATATTGTGGCTGCTAAATGATACTTCATGTCTGTTTTTCAAAATACTTTGTGGTTTATACTTTTAAAAGGCTGTGAAATAAAAAAATAATTATATGTAACTCAGCTTGGTGTGTGTGTGAATTATTATTACCCATACTTTTTGAAGAGCTAATTAGGATGAGGTAAATGGATGGAAGGAAATATTTATTTTTGTATCAGATTTTCTTTATAATGGGCATGTTTATATGCCAATTAACGTTATTTTTTAAAAATATTAAATGATTCTTTCATTGTATACAGAGTTTGGGTAAAATATGGGGGTCGCAATGGTATTGAGTAATTTTTTCAAGTGTCTGGGTGTTTTTCTACGCTGAGCATTACTTGACTCTTGTCTCAGTGTCCTGTTTTGGGTTGTTTGTCTTTTATTAATGAGTTGTAGGGATTCTTTTTTTATTTTGTTTTGTTTTGTTTTTTTTTTTTTTGGCGGTACGCGGGCCTCTCACTTATAATTCAGATGTTGAATCTCCTAGCACAGTGGTTCTCAAAGTCTAGTTCATAGATCAGGCACATCTGCATTCACCTGGGAACTTGCTGGAAATGTGCATTCTCAAGTCACACAAGTAGCTTGTGATTTAACAAGCCCTCCAGGTAATTCTGATGCAAGCAAAGTTACAGAATCACTGTTTTAGACTGATCCTCTATTTTTTTTTTTGCTCCTTCCTCCTCCTCTGTCCTCAATGTTATTCTCCAATCCTTCAACTGTGTTTTTCATTCCTTCTATTAGGAATACCAAATATTCATTTCACTCTCAACCACTGCACCACCAGGGAAGCCCATGAGTTGTAGGGATTCTTAAAAATATCCTAGACACTACCCCTTTATCCCAGTATGTGCTTTGCAGTAATTTTCTTCTAGTTTCTGGATAGCCTGTTCATTTTCTTAACAACGTCTTTAAGAGAGGGATTTTTAAATTTTGAAGATAAATTTATCCACTGTTTTCTTTTATTGCTTTCCATGTCCTCTTCCTGTCTTTTAGGTCACAAAAATATACTCCTGTGCTTTCTTCTAGACTAGAAGCTTTATAGTTTTAACTTTTACTATGTCTGTTATCCATCTCAAATTAATTTTTGTATATGCTATGAGGTAAGGATTGGGTTCTCCCCCCGCATATATATGAACAGTTTTCCCCCCATTTATTGAGAAGACTTTCCTATCCCCATTGGATTGCTTTGGCATCTCAGTCAAAAATCAAATGACTATTGATTTGACTTTGTGGGACTATTTCTGGGCTCTGTATTCCATTCCATAATATCATCTTTATGCTACTACCTCAGTGTCTTGATTACTGTATTTTCACAATAAGTCTTGGTATTCACCACAAAATGTTACGAACCTGAACTTTTTAAAAATAAACTTCTACTAAAGATTTAGTCTACACGCAAAAAGTAATTTCAGTTGAAAATGGTTAAATTCAGTAAGAAAACCCGACTATGATACCAGGCTTCCTTTATTCTTGCTTGTAGCCCCACCCATAATCTGAATCAAGATCTAGAGTTGAACTTGGTTAAAAGGATCCGTATAAGTAGCAAAAATCCTTTTTTTCTGTTTTTATAGTTGAGAACAAACTGTGCTTTTTTTTTTTTTTTTTTTTTTTTTTTTTTTTTTTTTTTTTTTGCGGTACGTGGGCTTCTCACTGTTGTGGCCTCTCCCGTTGCGGAGCACAGGCTCCAGACGCGCAGGCTCAGCGGCCATGGCTCACGGGCCCAGCTGCTCCGTAGCACGTGGGATCTTCCCCGACCGGGGCACGAACCCGGGAGGTGGACTCTCAACCACTGCGCCACCAGGGAAGCCCCAAACTGTGCTTTTTAAAGGGACTTTTTACTAGAAAGCTAGTGATACAAAACAAACCAAAAAGCATAGAAGCTCATGAGTTGTTAGGGTCCCAGCTTCTTTACCAACCTAAGTCTAGCCACAGATTGGACTGCCTGGCTCAAGTATCAGGACATCCATTCTGATGCTTTCCACTCATCTCCATGGTGGCTGACATTTGAGTGGTTGGATACCAGATCATGCTTTTTAGAAATTTAGCTGAGGTAGTTTGATTGGCACCGAATCATGTCTCATGCCCCATTTTATTTGCATGCAGTTTTCCAGACACACTATTTCTTGTCCTTTACACATCTCAACCAGGGACTCATTGTGAAGTCTCAACCCATTATAGGAAAAGCAAATGATCGCATCCATCTCCTACTACTATAATCTCACCCCACTCCTTGGAGCTAACAGTTCTTAACAGTTTGCTATCATCTTTTGAAATGATATTCTGTGTATTTTCATGCTCTTACAATGTGACTTTGACATTGAGAGATAGGGTCTGTGTCCCTTCCCCTGGAATCTGGGCAGGCTTGTGACAGTAGAAATTGGCAGAAGTGACACTGACTTATGAAGCTAAGTCAGGAGAGGCAACACAGTTTCTCCGTTTGATGGAATATCTACTTTTGGAGCCCTGAGTCACCATGTAATATTGCAATATCCTGAGGCCATCATCATTTTCTGAAGGAGCTCAGGCAAAGGGAGAGGCCCCTTGTAGTGGCGTAGTTGAGTGTCCCCACAGATGAATAACTCAGTGAATAACTGTTGAGTCCTTGCAGCTCCTTCCAGACTTCCTGGAGCAGAGA